TGTTTCCTTTTAAAATAACAAACATGTGTAGCAATACCCCCCTAGGGGCTGCTGGATTTGTTTGGGTCCCCCTATGCTCTGCACAGCCAGGCAACACACATTATCCACACTTGTACCTTCAGAGTCAGTAAACAGTCCATGGACTTGAGGTTTTTGCTTCTTGTTTTATTATCCATGTGGGGTTAAACATGGATAGAGTAAATGGGTTTTGGGTTCCCAATATGATTTGAAGAAATAGCAGAATGAGGACGTTTCACGCTTAATAAAAAAATGACAGACACTTGACTGCATTCCAGCTGGAACCATTACAGTCCTTTGTTAAGTAATCCCATTTTAGGAGCTTGGTGTCCCCTGAGTGGATTTCTAGCAACATGGCAATTGTGTAGGAGCTTTTGGTCCCCTTAGTGCACAGAATACCAGCCGACTTGGCTACAGTATCTGATCCCAGGACAAAGGATTGGGTAAGGTATGAACTGTCCCCTGAAGATTTGCCAGAACTTGCATCCAGCAGACCTCTCCCTTCTAGGCCCTGGGGGTGTAGAGGTACTCACACTGTCCTTGTCCTGCAGATGTGGATAGAACTGATTTCAGGCCTTCTAGATGGGCTGGTTCCCCTCCAAGCTTTGCAGGCTGTCCTTCCCTGGTGAAAGGCAGGGCAGTGTGTAGGAGCGCTTGGTCCCCTGGGTGCAGAGAATACCAGCCAATAACATTGTCCTATTTCAGCTTCTCCTCAGCTTCCAACCTCCAGCCTGGGAACCCCCCTCCTCTGCGGCTCCCTCCAAGGCCACACAGCAACACCTCCCAGCAATCCATTTTCCACCCGACTCCCCTGCTAGCATGGCTTTCTCATATTTATAGGCTAGTCTACCACACTACCAGGGCCTTACCCTAGCCTGGGATTGATCAGACTCACATGAATATGCAGACTGAGGTCTCCACCCTTCTGCCTACTGGCAGAAGGGTGGAGACCTCCAGAACCAGGTGGAGGCGATAGAGTCCCAATCTGCTGAAACATCCAGCCTGACCTCACACTGAACCCACAGTTATTCTGGCTCACTCACTACAATGAGCCAAAAATAAATTTACCTTATACAAGCACACTAGTGGGTGCTACACATGTTATACTTGGTTTAATGGTTTTGCACAGAGCAGCCCCGAGCCTCCTCTTCTCAGGTCCCCATAAGAAGGTGCTTCGTATTGTGGTATATCTGTGGGCTCGCTCTTGAGCTGCACTGCTTGCATCTATAGACAGAGACAGTGAGGCTAAGTCCTGCCCCTGCTCCCTCGTCATAGGATTTGACTGACAGCCCATGGCTCCTGTTGCTCTCAGCAAAGCCTATGACAGCAGGAAGAAAAGAAGAAAGCATGAATAGATGGCACAAAGGATAATTATGTATTTGGTAAAGAATAATCAAGAAACGTATTGTATAAAAGGTTCATCAATGATGTGTCTATACTTTAAAGGGAAGTTAAGGGGTTCTTAAAATTTTCTTTTTCTTTTATATGAATAAGCAGAGTATAAGATTGGCTTATTGTATAAGCAAATTCATTTAAACATTTTAAAGGTAAAGTGACACCAAACGATATCCTTACTTGCCAAAAATATTGCTTACACATCCACTGCTTAATGGCCTTGTAATCTGTTTTTAATTAAATTGTTTCTAATTATATTTTTCTGCCTCCTTTTAACATCCTCTTTGCACTCCCGAAACCTCTCATCTTCCCCCTACACACACACACAGTTTAATTTGTTTGGAGCGAGCAGGGCACATTAGATGTGGTCATGTGCACTTCTCTGCTCTATACACCGTACAATGTCTTAGTCTTATTCCAACTTGGGAGCAAGCAAGATAGGGTGGCCACATTCCCACATACAGTATGACCATGGAGAATGAATGTAGCCATCCTCTAACTGGAAGTCAGATCACAGCAGCAAAAAAAAAAAGAGAAAAAGTTTGTAGGAGAGGCTGCGAGCAATAAATGGTGCTTCTTTGAGCTAAGAGTGCATACAATTTTTTTTTAAAACTAGTTAAGTGTCAGTTTAGAGTTTAGTGTCAGTTTAAACTTCTTTAAAGAGGAGATGTATAGAAGACTATCTTCAAGGAAAGTTTTTGTTATATAAAATGGATTAATGATGTTCCAAGAAGACAGTTTTACAGACAGCAAATAAGTTTGTGAAAAGTAAAGATCACTATAAACAAGTGAAATCTTGGGGCCACAGCACAAAGCTAAAAAGTGAATAAGACTATAATGAGAAGGATAATAATAAAGGATACAATAAGCATTTCTTACGACAGAATTTCGAATGTTAGCACAAATAGACAAAAATTATTAGATGGAAGAAAATAATGAAAAGAAAAATGGGAAGATTGGTTTACAGAATGGTATTGTTACACAATATATGATTAGTCTGGGCTACACCATGCCCATTAAGATTTACACATATAGCCATATTAAACAACATATATTAACAAACCTTTCTAACAGATTGGTAAAAACTATGTGATGTCATATCAAAAAATAGCCTATCATATCCAAGGACACAGAAATAATCTGAGCTGTTGAACATAGGTGGGAACAAAGATATTAACACTGCTCATAGAAACCTTTTTGCTGTTGTTTCCTCTTTTGCCCTCAAACTTGTAGTAGCAATCATCTAGCTGTAACGGGCCAGTCCAGGGATAGCAAGCCAACCTTGCCAGATCAACTCAAATTTGCGGAGAGTATTTTGGGTGACGATAAGTGAGTTACTCTCATAGCAAAAGAGAATTAACATAGGCTACCAGTTGTTTCTTCGTATCATGATGACATCCAATATCTAGCAAGTAATTTTCCTGGCCAGGTATAAGAGGCTGGTAATAATAATAAAAACCCCAGGTGACAACAGTTCAGCATCTATTGTGCCCAGTAAACCTACTAGTGGATCATTAGGCATGGGGACCTGGACAGTCAAGGAGATAGTATGCAGCACCTCTACCCAATGCTGGGTAAGTTTTGGACACTGCCAGATCATATGGGAGAAATTACACATTACACTTGGGACATAGGGGTGTGTACCTCCTACCCCACTCAAACAGTTTAGCAGGTGTACTATAAGCTTGGTGAAGGATAAATAGTTGTGAGAGTTTATGTGAAGTGAACCTTGCCATATGGTGGCGTACATAACTTCAGCTACTATAGGGGAAGTAGATTTGCTCATGGTAAGAGATTGGCCTTGGGTCTGTAGCACATGCCTAAGTTGCAGATATTGGTAAAATTGTGAATTGAGAGTGAGAATTTTTTGCACAATTGATTATAGGCTTTAAGGATTGTGCCCGAGAATATACTATATACAAAATGTCTTTCCTCCTCAGTTCATGGAGTCCCTTCGGTTTGTGCAATAAGTGGGGGTTATGCCATAATGGAATGAACTCAAAGAAGTCCGGGGTGGATAACAAGGTTTTCATGGCACCCATCAGCTGTCAGCAGGATTCCCACTAACAACTGAATGGAAACAAAATAATGCTGGAATTAAAACATTTTTTAATTTTTTTTTTTTAATTTTTGGGTGTGGTACGGATTTTAAAAGGGAACCCCACGTCAATATGAAAAAAAAAAAACAGAGTGGGGTCCCACCCAAGTCCATATCAGACCTTTAAGTCTGGTATGGACTTTAAGAGGAATCCCATGCCAGTTTCTTTTAAAAAATAGGGTGGGGGTCCCCCCAGATTATATTCCAGACCCATATCTGAGCTTGCAGCCCTGCATGCCAGGAAAGGGGAGGAGGACAAGTGAGTGACCCCCCCTGCTGAACCATACCAAGCCACATGACTTATTGGAATCTGGAAGCCACCTTATACAAGGGGGCCCTCAGATCCCTGTCCTCAATGTGAATGCATTTGGGGTACATAGTATCCCTACTCATCCACCAAAAAAGTGGTAAAAGTACAAAACACAACAGTTTTTGACAAGTCCTTTATCTAAAAAAAACAAAACAAAAAAAAAACAGAACAATTGTCTCCTGGTATAAATCCAAGGTAACTCATTATGAATGTTGGCCGCCGACCCGAATAAAAAATGATGACATCACCGGGTGACCCCGGCCCTTTATTTTGTCATTGTCGACGGTACCAGCGTTGGGTGCAGACCTTTTATTTTTTTCAAGTTGGTGCCCAGCGTTCATTGTGATTGAAGTTGTATCTACATCCGGGGGACAATTTTTTTTTAATATAATCTTTTTTTTTTTTTAATAAAGGACTTCAAAAACTACTGTGTTTTTAATAACTTTTACCACTTTTTGGTGAATACGTACTCATTCACATGAGGGGGGTGGGATCTGGGAGCTTCCAGATGTTGACAAGTCACCTCCTGGACCCCACAACCACTGGACCAGGGATGTGGAGAAGAGGCCCTTGTCCTCATCAACATGGGGACAAGGTGCTTTGGAGGAGAGCCACCCTACCCCAAAAAACTCTCCCATGTTGAAGTAATGTGTCCTGGTATGGTTGGGTGGGACGCTCACACCCTCTTTCCTTACCTGCATGCTTAGGTAAGGGTCTGGTATAAATTTTGGGGGGGGGACCCACGTTTTAAAAAAAAAAAAATCCCACTCTTTTTTTTTTTGTTGTAATTCAGGTGTGGAGTTCCCCTTAAAATCTGCTCCAGTCCATGGGGACTCTCTGGGGTCCTCAGGCTTACGGCCCGTTTCTTAGTGGCTACAGGACACCACCAAGTCAAGAGGGCAGCAAAGCCAGACGAGATTATCCATGTGCAGGGATGTTCAATTTTTATTGGCTGAGGCCCGGGACATGTAGTTTGGGTCCCGGGCAGGTATTTTTGTTTAACCTTTAGCCCTGCTGCAGGCAAGCAGCAGGGCTCACCTGTCAGGTGGAAGCATTTGGGCAACTGCATTGCCCCCGATTGCTTCCACACAGCCCACTACAATGGCAGCCTCCACCCTCATGCTTGCTATGTTACCCGGGCTCTGCTTGCCCATCTGCGGACCCGGGACCATTTCAGCAGGTGACGATGGGTACTGGGGAGGGAGGAGAGTGGACACCTCTGCTCCGCTCCCCTTCTTGACCTGCCTTGGAAGTGACGTTGACAGATTTCCTGCCCATCGAGGCCCGAGAAAGAATGTAATGCAGTGCGATGTGCACTGCATTACATCCAGTGGAATACAGGGGAGACATCCAGGGTCTTTTAGACCCCGGATGTCTCAATAAAGAGAACCTGTCACCAAAAATCATCACATAGGGGACTTTTTGTCCCCATGTGATGAAAAAAAGGTTAAGTAAAAAACTTTTTTTTTTAATTGTAAAAAAATTAAAGCTATACCCAAGCACATAACCCCCCCAAGAAATATTTGAGCCCCCCCCCTCACATACATGCACATACAAACGTAAATGCACATGCTGGGGCACCTACGCATCAAAATGTTGATTGCAGTACACATGTTACATATCATCGCACGCATCAGAATGAGAGCAATAATTCTAGCACCATACCTCCTCCGTAACGCTAAACTGATGAGCTTTAAAAGCATTGCCTGTAGAAAATATATGGTACTAAAGCTTGTCACCATTTCATGAGCTCATGCAAATTTAAGGTTTGACATGTTGGATATCTGTTTACTTGCTGCAACCTTATATTTTACATTATACCAAAAGTTGCTTTTTTGTGCCCTAAATTTAACGTAAGTGTATTTTTTACTGACATTTTGTGTTTCCTAAACTTTGGTAATATCATGAGACATAAAAAGAACTATTACTATTTTGTTCTCTAGGGTCTCTGCTTTCAGAAAAAATATAATGATTGGGGGTTTTGTGTAATCTTCAGGCCTAAAATGATTTTTTATACGTGTGCAAAAAATGCAAAAACATCTCTGGCAGTGAAAGGGATAAAGGATAAGCCGGACACTCACCTTTCCTGAGGAGCACCCAGTCGAATCCCATTACATTGCAAGGTCTCTCTCCTCCCTCCTTGTCCCCTGGTGCAGTGCTGGAGAGAGGCAGGGAGGTGAAGAGGAGGTAAACAGTGCAATGTTAAAATTATTAAACATTTAAGTCACCATAGAGCTCCTTTTGTTGTTAAATGCCCCATTCATTCCTAAAAGAACCTCAGATTTAAATACAGTTTTGGTTAAAATGTATTCCTTTTTTATCTGGACAAGTAGATTATCATGAGGCACAAGTAGATTGAGACACCGATTTAGGTGTCCTTTTATGACACAGAGAATAGCTGCGATTCAACGGATCTCAGCTATTCTCTGGTCATTCACAGTTTATAACACTCAGGAGATCATGTCAGCCCTTCACTGGAGATCTGTGTTCTCCCTCCAGATTCTCCAGCCCAGAGCTGGAGAATCAGAGGGACCGAAAACTAAGCAGAGATAGTTTACCTCTGCTTAGTAAACTGATCTTTTACTATAATCTCGAGAGATTATAGTAAAATGAGCCGTTTTTCAGAGTTTGTAGACCGTTCTCCAGCGTTCGGAGACCGTTCTCCCCCTTCGTTCGGAGAACTGCTTCATAAACTGCATTCACAGGAGAACTGTGTTCTCCGAGAATGCCGGAGAACTGTGTTCTCCGAGAATGCCGGAGAACTGAGCAGCGATCTATTACCGCTGGTCCAGAAACGGACACCTTAGTCCATTGGACAAGTAGGGTTATTTTTCACCAAAATAAATTTCCACACCCTTGTCATGTATCTGACCGAGTGGAGAGAGAACTATCTCAGGGAATATTCTACTGACATTAAGTGTGATAGCACTACCAGGCTATCACACTTATGGCGCAGTAGAATATTGTTAGCTGGGTTCTTGCCCTTGTATCCATCTGTTATCTATCAGCGCGCGATTCTGTGCAGTAGAAAATTGCTTCCAAGGTCTCACTTGTTTGATTGTTTTTTTATTGCCAGCATTCTTCTGAAGTTGCATCCAAGTCTCACCCATCCCAAAGTCACATCCAAGTGACATCAAAGTCAAAAATTTCCTATTGGCAAAATTAAATGCACTAAAAAATACGCGACGTTCAAAAAAAGCAAAACACTTTAGCAAAAAATGCACCAGGGAAAAATCATGAGTTTCACAGCAAGTACAGGTTTGTTAAACCTAGCCTTTGGTGTTCTTCTTTATTTACAATATATGATCTTCCCTTCCTCTGAAATAGTGAAATGCGCGAAAAAAAGTCTCCAAGAAGGCTGCATCAGTTTATTACAATTGTTTAAGGTAATATGAATCTGAAGAAAAAAGACTGAGAATTTGTTTATTCCAGATAAGGTTCTCCATCTCAACAGAATCTTAAACAAACAATGAGTACATAATTTCTCCGATAGCTAATCCTGTTCATTTTATTGGTATGTTACTAAAATAAAAGATTACAAAAAGCTATTCCTCTCTGTCTTGTGTTTTGCCCGTTAGGCAATTTACATGGTTATTTATAAGTTTTCTTGTTTTTAAAGTTGTAACAATATATACTATATATAATATATTAATATATATAGTATATTGACGAGTTTTTGGCGAGGGTTTATTAGTTATTACTTTTACACAAAAATTTTTTTTTGCAAAAACTACTCTATTAAATTTTTTATTTTGGGGGTGGAAGACTACACTATTAAATCATCTTATTTTGGTTGGGAAAATCAATCATCTATGGTTGCTGCTCCTGGAGGAAAGCCAAGCAATTGCTGTTTGTAAAAGTTAAAGCAAATGAATAGACAAGCAATTTGTGTGGTGCCAGATAAATGGTGTTCACTGACGCTGTTCATTAAAAGGCCAAAACTTTTTTTTTTTCATTTTAGGATATGATGGAAGGTTGACTGGCGTGAAAGTGTTCTCTATGCCGCAATGGTGACAGATTTCCCATTAATTCCTGTATCATAGCCAGAACAGGAAATGCAGGAAATGCGCGCGCGTCCAAAGTGAGGGGAATCTCAGTGTGGCAACCCAGGCAGTGAACAGAAACTAATGGTCCCCCATTGAGAGAATTTCACCTCGATTACTGTTCTGTTGTCAACCCAAAATTGTTGTCAACCCACTTGCAGCAAAAACACACCCCAGCATTGGGTTGCTGGGGTGTGCTGCAGAGTCTATTGATGATGGCTGCTGGGGGGTGTGGTTGGTCGCTGGAGTCTATTGTTGGCTGTGAGGGGGGGCCTGAGGAATTTGTCTTGTTGCTGGGGGTGGATCTTATGTTGCTGGGTGGTCAGTTGCAGCGAGTGGAAGTGGATTTACTGTTGATTGAGGGGGTCTATTGATGTTTTTTTTATTACTGGCTGCAGGGAGAGATTTTTGTTGTTGCTGCTATGGAGCCTATTGTTGGTCTATACCCCCCAAGATCCAATACATCTCTCTTAATATGTTGCTGGCTTCAATCGGGATCTAGATTTTTACATATGCTTTTATCTATGTTTATTCATTACCAATTCCATACAAATTACTTAGCACCACAAAATTATACTCGGTTCCTGATATTTTCTAAAAGGATGGTACTGGGAGGTGTGTAGGGTCTGAAATCAAGGAACAATGCTCAGAGGGTTTGATTAGGGGTGGAGATAATGGGTGAATCAGAAAAGAAGAGTTCCTGCAGCTATTCTCTGAGAAAAAAAAGCCCTGCCTATAATTGTTACATGTACATATTATTAAGCGTGCATGCAGTTAAAATAAAGAATATAGGTGATGCTGGATCGACTTTAAAGAAAAAAAGTGATATATAAAAGTGTTTTACTCCTTTGTTGTGGTTTGTTACAGACCATAAACTGAAACTATGAAGTCTTACAGCGAGAGATTGTTGTCTGAAGAAACAAAACTTATTCACCTTTGAGAGGACTAAAGCATAAAAGATACATGACTTGAGTACATGAGTTAGTGCATACAGCATTCCCTGAACAGAGAACAAAGGGAAAACATCACAAAACTTATAGAGAAGTACTGTGCAATAACAAGCTTTCTTGAATGCTAATCTACAAATCTTTTTACGTAAAGCCCAGTTTATTTCAATGAAGTAGAATCAAAACCTCCCAACTTTTGAACTTGACAAAGAGAAACAAAGTGGTGGAATGTAGGTGTGGCCACTGGAAAGTGAGCATGGTCAAATGGGGTGATTTAAAGATACACCCCAGTAATAGAGTATGTCTTGCCATGCACTCTATGCAGGCTCCTCATGTGTAGTTAACTCTTGAACCTCTGTAACTCTGCACAGGATGGGGGACCTCTGGAGCGCAAATCCGCTCCCGTTGCTATTGGAGACAGACCGCTGTTGGAAGGAGTACCGACATCATCTCCCTCACTGCTAGAGGTCGTACTACCAATAGCAGGTACACTTCAGCGTCAGGCTCCTTGTTACACTTCCGTTATTATTGGCAACTGCTTATGTCTTTAAACGGATTCCATTCCTGGCGTACCTACAACGGTGTAGCACAGGAATTACAGTCCTTCAGTTGCACTCTCATGCAGATGCAAGTCCTTCGGATGCATGCTCCAGTGCTGCTGTCTTCAGGAAAACCCCAGGTTCAGATTACTTTACATCCAGACAGTGATGAATGAATAATTTCTGCTCCTCGTCGGTATTGTTCTCCATCTCGTTCCCTTACAGGCCTCAGAGCTGGTGCAGGCCCTTGTCCTCTTAACTCTCTCTCCTTGAGACCTTCACTCTTGGGCTCTCTGTGAGGAAAAATCCCCAAATCCTCCATAACTACCTCTATTTTTATATCACAGAGTTAGTGGGCTGGACCCGAGAAGAACCTACCAAAAACCAAAGAAGCGGGAAAGATTTTAACTCATCCTCCTGGCCCAGGACAGCACCTAACTATTTCAATCTGCCCACATGCCAGTGGGTTGAGGGTTTTTAAGGTTAGAAAAATTCTCTCTAACAAAGCTAGTTAAGACTCTGTCACTCAGGTTATTGTAATCTACAGTATAGTTTTATATAATATAGGGTTCAGGAGTTTAATATACAACATAGCATATATTTTGTACAACATAATGAATGCAGTGCAGGGGTCAGGAGCATATCATATAAGGCCTAGCAGGCAGAGCGCAGTGGTCAGATGGATCAATTGTACAAATTGTGTCTATCATGCAGGGCAGGGGTCGGGAGTATGTACCGCACAGAATGCAGGGCTCAGGAGTGCATAACCCACAGAGTGCAGGTTTCAGGAGCATAATGTATGCCTCAGGCTAGGTTCACATATGTGCCAGTTGTGACACGTGCATAATCGTGTGTCTTCCCAAACCGAAGGCAAAACATGCTGCTCTTTAGCACATGCGTGGGGGTACCATTAAATCTTAATCGTACCCCATATGTCAGCAAAATATCATCAAAATGCTTGTGTTCTTGTGCGCACA